CAAGGTTCCCCCCCCCCCAGCATGGGGCCCAAGACAGTTGCCCTGGTTGCCTATGGCTAAGACTGCCCCTGTCTCTAAGAACAGTCATCATATGCCATTATTATAATTTTATGCGAGCGTCTTCATCAAACTTTTTTCTTGGAAAATTCTAAGAATATAACTTGAATTCTAAAATTTTGAAGACCAGGCTTGTTCTTAAAAATGCCTCTATCTATAATATATTTCTTCAATTTTTTCCCCTCTTATCTCTTTCTGAAGTGAATCATGAACATTCTTATGGTCACCGAGAACAATATGGTGAAAGGACTGATCAGTCGTTTCAGCCAGATCTTAATACTGGTATGATGTATTACTACGATGATGGAACAGGAATGCAGATGTATTCTGTGGATGAAACAGTACTTAAAGAATACATTAAGCGCCAAATGTAAGTAGATTTGTGTGTGTGTGGATGAAATTTGTTTTTCTTCAAGATGTTCATTTGAAACTTGGGGTTTTAGTGACTCTTTGGAACTCAGTGTTCAGCAGTTTCGTTTGCTGACATAAGCAAACCTTTTTAAGTAGGAACTTCAGGAAAGGGTTGAGTGTCCTGGTGCTCTAAATTAAGTTGCGAGCTCTGTGTGCCTCCTTTTCATGTCATTCATATCTTCATTGTTTAGTCTTGTAAATAATTTGTAGGTGTATATTAGCTTGCAGTTTACAGTAAGATGGAGTTTGTTTAATATTAACATGCTAATGATTATGTAATTTTGGTGACTTTTTTTTAAATGTAATTTTGGTGACTTGAAGTAATCTTGTGATTTATAGCTTCAAAAATGAGTCTTATTGGTGTCTGTTTTTGAACTAAAGGACTTTTAGCCTTTCCTTCTGATTGTTGGAATATTTTGAGATGGAGGAATTTAAACCAGCGTATTCCCATCAGTGTGTGGACATATATGTTGCCAAACTAGTCCATCCACATCAATATTGAAAATACCAAGAAAATTACATCAGACGTCTTTCTTATTTTGGCATTCTTTTTTGTTAAGTGTATAAAAGTAGAGATGGGCCAGTGTGTTGCATCTCTGTACCTAAACCTAAACATGTAGATTGTTTTATTAACTGTATTATTAACTGATGTGGTATTTATTAATTGTTTTAATTTTTTGTCATGCTGTTTAATCCTGCCTTGAGCCTGCTTGTCAGGCAAGGTGGGGTATAAATACAAATCATAAATAATAAATTAAATATGACTTTTAGTATTAACTATATATGATAGGCATAATCTTGTTAAATCCATGACCCTGTAATACTGATAATTTGTTAAGTATATGCAGACTTTATATCATACTCTTCAGTGTATGGATGTTCTTTTGAAATGAAATTACTGTTTACCCACTATCCTAGACCAATGGAAATTGTTAAAAGAAACCCAAGCAAAGTGAATCTTTTGCTATACAAGATATACAACAAAATTAGTTTTGTTTGAGTTATGCTAGCATAGAAACATTAGGATAATTTAAACATTTTCTTTCTTCAGTGAATATTATTTCAGTGTAGAAAATTTGGAAAGAGACTTCTTCTTGAGGAGGAAGATGGATCAGCAAGGATTCTTGCCTATTTCTTTGATTGCAAGCTTCCACCGTGTACAGGCTCTCACTACCAATGTTAATCTAATCTTAGAGGTAAGTCAAACTATTAGTTTTTACAACTGTGGTTTTTTTAAGTGACAGCGTCCTAAGGGGGGGGGGACGACAGCCTGTAGAGTCCCTTCTTTGTGTGTTTGGCCAAACCAGTAAACTGTATGAAAATTAGTTTTCTGGGGAAGTGTATGAATTTCTACTCTTCTTGAAACTGCACACCTCAGTAAAATAAATGCATATTTAACTATACTTCTGAGAAAATAAATGCATATTTAACTGTATACCAATCATGAGACAATTTCTGCTTTACACAGAAATTCTGTCCTGTTTGCACTCACCCTATACTTGTTTTTACTATTTCAATTTCTGAAGCTAGTAATTTGGCTACTGAGATCATATTTAATTTTTGAAATTTGATTCCTGTTCAACAGCATCCAAAGCTAGTCTCAGTGAGGCTGATAAAAGGGAACACAGGCTATGGCAAATAAAATGCAAGTCTGTGATCAGGCAGGCAAAAAGGGAATATGGGGCGCATATAGCAAAAAACATAAAGACCAACAATAAAACTTTCTTCAAATACATTAGAAGCAGGAAACCAGCCAGGGAGGCAGTGGGGCCCTTGGATAATCAAGGGGTAAAGGGAGTACTGAAGGATGATAGGGCAATGGCTTGCCCACTCCAGAACCACTGATTTCGGGAGGGGTGTTGAAAGACCTGAGTCAGATTGAGGTGACGAGAGAGGAGGTCCTACTACTGATAAATCACCAGGCCCGGATGGCATACATCCAGGAGTTCTGAAAGAATTCAGATGTGAACTTGTGGATCTCCTGACAAAAATATGTAATCTTTCATTAAAATGTGCCTCCATTCCTGAGGACTGGAAGGTAGCTAATGTCACTCCCATCTTTAAGAAGGGTTCCAGAGGAGAACCGGGAAATTACAGGCCAGTCAGTCTGACGTCGATACCAGGTAAATTGGTGGAAACTGTTATTAAGGAAAGAATTAGTAGGTACATTGATGAACAAAACCTATTGAGGCAGACTCAGCATGGGTTCTGTAAGGGAAGATCTTGTCTCACTAACCTGTTAGTGTTTTTTGAGGGAGTGAACAAACATGTGGACAAGGGGAATCCAATATATGTTCCTTGATTTCCAGAAAGCTTTTGATAAAGTTCCTCATCAAAGGCTCCTAAGTAAGCTCAATAGTCATGGGGTAAAAGGACAAGTCCTTTTGTGGATCAAAAACTGGCTAATTAATAGGAAACAAAGTGAGTATAAATGGACAATTTTCTCAGTGGAGGGTGGTAAGCAGTGGGGTACCGCAGGGATCAGTATTGGGTCCAATGCTTTTTAACTTGTTCATTAATTATTTGGAGTTGGGAGTAAGCAGCGAAGTGGCTAAATTTGCGGATGACACGAAATTGTTCAGGGTGGTGAAAAGCAGGGAGGATTGTGAGGCACTCCAAAGGGATCTGTTGAGGATGGGCGAGTGGGTGTCAATGTGGCAAATGGGGTTCAGTGTGCCCAAGTGCAAACTGATGCACATTGGGGCCAAAAATCCTAACTATACATACATGTTGATGGGGTCCGAACTGGCAGAGAGTGACCAAGAGTGAGATTTTGGATTTGTAGTAGATAACTCACTGAAAATGTCAAGACAGTGTGCGACTGCAATAAAAAAAGTCAACACTGTGCTGGGGATTATTAGGAAGGGAATTGAAAACAAATCAGCCAGTATCATAATGTCCCTGTATAAATCAATGGTGCATCCTCATTTGGAGTACTGTGTACAGTTCTGGTCACCACACCTCAAAAAGGATATTATAGCATTGGAAAAAGTGCAGAAAAGGGCAACTAGAATGATAAAAGGGTTGGAACGCTTTCCCTGTGAAAAAAGGTTAAAGTGCTTGGGGCTCTTTAGCTTGGAGAAACGACAACTGTGGGGTGACATGATCGAGGTTTACAAGATTAGGCATGGGATAGAGCAGGTAGAGAAAGAAGTACTTTTCTCCTTTTCTCACAATACAAGAATTCATGGGCACTCAATGAAATTGCTGAGCAGTCGGGTTAGAACAGATAAAAGGAAGTACTTCTTCACCCAAAGAGTGATTAACACATGGAATTCACTGCCACAGGAAGTGGTGGCGGCTACAAGCATGGACGGCTTCAAGAGGGAATTAGATAAGCATATGGAGCAGAGGTCCATCAGTGGCTGTTAGTCACAAAGTATAGATAGGAACTTTCAGTCTGGGACAAGTGATGCACTGTATTCCTGGTGTTGGGGGGGGGTCAACACTGGGAGGGCTTCTAGTGTCCTGACCCCACTGCTAGACCTCCTGATGGCACCTGGTACTTTTGGCCACTGTGTGACAGAGTGTTGGACTGAATGGACCATTGGCCTGATCCAACGTTGGCTTCTCTTACGTTCTTAAAGATTCTTGCCTGTTTGCTTCCTTTATCCCAGCAGCCTGCACCTTCTATCTTTGTATCATGTGTGAGGGTTTTTGCTGGATCTTTCACTTCTATCATAGAAGGTGTCATGACCACAGCGGGTTGCCACCTTCTGCCGCCACCACCCTGGACTTTGGTCCCTTGAGAAGGCCCAGGGTACCTTCCCAAGCCCCTTCAAATTGCCCCTTTGTAGCTGAGAAACGTAAGCGTGATGACCAGGCAGAGAAACAATTAAACAAAAAGGGTTTATTATTACAGTACTAGGTAGGGGAAAAACAAGACAAGGTGCTTTAAAATACATAACATAGGAAGGCCAAAAGAAACTCAAAGCTAATGCAGCTGCCTAATACTCCTTAACTGTTACTACTCAAGCCCTACAGCTCTCTTATGTCATGCTTCTGCCTGTACTCACTGTCCCCAGTAAGGGATCTTTCTCCCAGACCAGTCTCCTCCGCTTAGCTCTGTGAGAGGCAACAAACTGCATAGAGGAAAAGAACACAGTTTAACTGACCACCAAGTATATAAACAATCTCCTCAGAGAATTCCTCAACCCCCATTGGTTACCACTGGCGCAAAGCCTTGTGGGGATTGTAGGCTGTCTGCTTCCCACTCCCAGGCAGGTATTTTAGGCCCAGTCCTGCACAGATCTCAAGAGGCCTACACAGATCATGACAGAAGCAGTCAATATTCGTTAGTCTATGTTTAATTACTACTGTTTCCCTCAAACATTAGAATGTCCATTCCTTGACTTTTCACCATGTTAAACAAAAAGGAGATCACATAGCAGTATAGTAGTAACAACAATGGGAAAGAGCTATGAAGCAGGATACAATGGAACTGGTAAGAATGTTAATATGTTGGACAGATACAATATGTGAAGTACATGTATATAATCATTGCACAATAAAGCACAATAATTCTGAATATGAGTCTTCTGATACACAATGAAATATTCAAAAAAATATCTTTCCAAAATAGTTCTTTCCAATGAACTATTGATAATCTTCCTCAAGAAAATTACTATAATAGAAACAATGCTATGAAACAGTTGTGCTAAGGTCCATATGTAAAATTACACAAAAGTAACACCAAAGTAATTACCTATTATAAGTATTTCAAAGGCATAAGGTTCCAGAAAACTGTATAGCTTCAGACTACTAATGTAGAAGGAACTGCCTGTGAAAGAAGAAGGTGCTACTGTAAACCAGCCTGAATGACATAAAGGAAAATTCAAAATACAAAGTAATGTACTGAATGAAACTTACCCTTCCAGGGTATTCAAAGAGGTTTGCAGTAACAATTATATTTCTATTGATGGGCCACCAGTAACACTTTTTAGAAACTACTCTGTATTAATGCTGAGCTGGTCTAGCCTCTACATTGTGAGCCAAGTCTCAGTTTTAGTATATAAAGGAAACAAAGGAGAACTCTGAACAAGTTAAAGGGACACACATCCATTTACAGTGTAATCAGTTTAAAGAAAGCATGATAGCTCCAACACCTGATTGAGACCATATGGGTGATGAGTTTTTAAGTGACGAATCCAAAAAACCTCATGTTGGTATAGGGCTTTTTGTATATTTATTATTTTATACTAATTTGGGACCAAAGTTTCTAAAACCAAAAAATTGAAGTCCTTATCAGTATGCCCCATATCCATGAAATAGTGCACTAGGGGGGATTCATGGTGCTGGTGTCTTATACGAGATTTACGCTCTGTAATCTCTGTTACCTGAGATTAATTTCAGGAGCTATTTGAAAATCTTTACAAACTGTTCATCTAGATGTGTCATTTATCTCATAAAATGTGGGTGCAATTTATTATATGTCGGGATTGTCTTCACATAAACATGTTGGAAAGCTATAACTAATTCCAGAGTGTACATATACAGTGAATTGCACGTGTGTTTAATCATTCCACAAAAGCCAATTTTAAAATGTGGTTAATAGTTATATTTCAGGGCAGGATGTGTTTTAAAGAACTGGGTGAATCTGGACCCTGTAGGACTCAGGAACAAGGAAACCTCTCCTGTTGCTACCAGTGGGTACCTTGATACAGTGACAAAATAGGCCAATGCACAAGTGTATTTTTGACTCCCAGGAATGTTTAGCTGTAGTCAAACACTGTGAAATGAAAAGTGTTCCGTCAACTTGTGTCTTATCCCTACTTTCTATTTACAGTTTTTATAATACATTAAAGTGCCCTTGGAAAGATGTAACAAGATCACCCTCAGTGATTTGTTAACATTTGATGTTGTGTTTGTATGTTTACTTACTAATATGCACATGTTTGTGTCATTTAGGCTTTAAAAGACAGTACAGAAATTGAAATAGTACACCAGAAGATCAGGAAAAAGATAGAACCAGAAAAATGGCCTATTCCAGGGCCTTCTCCAAGAAGCCTTCCTCAAACGGACTTTTCCCAGCTTATTAACTGTCCAGAATTCATACCAGGCAAAGCTTTTGGTTCACACACTGGTAAGATTTTCTTTTCCTGCCAACCTGTGATGTTAAATACTTGAACTACTTCTGGCTGAGAACACATATATTTACATATGCAGAGCTACCTTTATGTTAGAGGAGGTGTTACTCCCCACCACCAACAACAAATGCTACTCCATCCCAGCCTAGACTTTGAAAAGAATTGAAACTAGGAGAAAAATCTGAACTATGTAGTTCTTATCCTTTTCCTACCCAAAGAGGTAGCGGTGTCCTTGGAAACACACAGCTGTTCTGATTGGAAGAAAATCTCTCATCTTGCAGCTTTTAGGTAGCCTCTGTCTCATCCTTTTCAACCAGGCCTTCAACAAAAAGTGGATATATTTCTTAGGATCATGGTGTCTTCACAGAACATTGTGCTAGATTAATAGTGAAGCCTCTTTTCAGCAGTGTGGTACTGGCCAAGACAGTGAATTATGGTGTCATGTATAAAACCATTGTCTCATGTATTGGGAGGACAGCAAACAGAGAAAATAAGTGGTTAACAGTTAATTTATCTTGTAACTGGAAAGCCCAATTAAATGCAAAACTGTCATTTCAGTGCCTGAAAGACTGGTGTCAAAAGGACAAAAGTGTTGAGAATAAATGTTTTCTATTTGTTTCATATCAGTAGGGGGCTCAGACTCACAGAGTCTCTGCTGTTAGTAGGTTAGTGGTGCAACAGGTACTGTGGTCCTTGATCCTCCTGTTTTGCTGTCCAAACAACTATACTAAAATGGGATCTTTGAGTAAATGCAAAGTTTGCTTCCTTTTAGGTAATACTATATCTGGCAGACCAATGTGAACAGAGGTCGTGCAAACCACATGGATGGTCGGTGGGGGCAGTGTGTTTGTGTAATTCCTTACTGTGTTATGTCTGGGGTTTCTTGTTTTGCTGCTGTTCTCAATTTTCCTTTATTACCCCTGTTTTTCAAGTTGCAAATGAGTTCCACATGTGTTAGATGGCCCTCTGCTTCCTGTTTCACTAATACGTTTGCTTGCTCAGGATCCATGGTTTTCAATGAGCCCTTGCCGAATAGAAGTACTAGCAAAAGAGAAAGCACATTCTGAGGCAGAGGCCACCATAGGGCCAGACTTGTGGCCACCACCATTTTAAAGTAATTTAAAAATGCCACAAGGGCTCAATCTTGATCAGACCCACAGTGCAGCGAGCCAAGGGGCTTCTCCCCCCCCATGACTTATCATGCCAACCCCCCCCCCCCCCCGCAGTGGTGGTGGTGCTTGAAAAGGTGAGGGGGAGATGAGAACACCGCACTGCAGACCCAATCTGGACTGGGCCCTTGCAACGTTTTTAAAGGACTTTAAGATGACGGTGGTGTCCTTGTTGTGGTCACAAGTATGCTGTCACAAATAGTTTGGTCCTTAGATACAAGTAATCTTTTCCTGGTAAAATATTGCTGTGGTTTGAGAGACCCTTGAAGACAAATGCCATATGGGGCCAGGGGTATAATGAGGAGTTGAAATTTGGTGAGATCACTTCTCTTTTCTCTTCTGTGAACAGAATATCCATAGAATCCAGCCTATTTATGCTTGGTGTCCTACCAACTAAACAGATGGTAACTTCCCAGCAGATCCAACTTCTCTTTCCCATTTATGCTGTCCTTTGGCATTTGAATGATTAGACAGTTTGTATTTCTCCTTTGTAAAAAAAAGATGTCTTGCACTTAGAAGTATTCTGGGGTTTTGTCTGTCTTTATTTCCTATCAGCGTATCAGTATCTGGTTTAGTTTAGATTAAAAAAAGAATTTAAAATTCTGTGAAAGAAACGATCCAAGTCAGACAACAGTAATGTGTAATTGATCTGTTCAAAGTAAAGAAATGATGTTAATCTTCTGTCTTTGGTGCCACCCCACACTGGGATGATTGTGCCTGCGCAGGCCAGCTGTGGAATAAAGTTTTTCAGCTTAAAAGCTACTGCGAGGCACCTCTCCCCTTCTGGAGCCAGTACGGCAACTTTTTCTACCCACGCCATCACATGCTCCAGAGGCATGTTACGCCAACTGCCTTATTTACGACAGTTGGCAACTAAATTTAACGTGAGTTCTTGCCAGCGTTTATGGAGGTTTTGCCAGCACCAGAGAGTACCAGTGATGAAGACGAGACGGGTGTTTTTCCAAAACAAATAGTTCTTTTACTGAGCAATATCAAAATCACACATACAAAATCAGTCTCACATTCGCATACACTCAAGGTTCCTTTGGAGTTACAGAAAGATATCAAGATAGTTTCTCATTTACTTGGAGGTAGGTAGGTATCAGTTCATGCTCACCTGTTCCAGAAGTCCTGTCTGTTGCAATGAAAAATAAAGGGATAGAGAATAGTGTCTAGAAGTTTACCTAAATCACACTGTTCCAGAACCAGCCAGTCAAGTGTGTGTGTGGATCTCTTTGGCTGCAGTCCAAAGAGATCCATAATAGACAGAGAGGGTTGTTGAATAGCAAGACAGGAATTCAAAGTATAAAGGTGTCGATGAGAGGAGAGGTGGCTCGCAAAGACCTAATGTTTGGGTCTTTATTTTTATAGTTGAATCTCCAGGTGGGTGGCACCTTGCCAAACTGTACTCCCACCTACTTACAAGTCCATCCCATGACCTCCCTCATTGGTGCATGTAGAAAGGGGCAGGTATTCTATGGGTTGGGCCAATATTTGAAACTCTACACTCTATCTCATGGAACACCATCTGGCCAGGTGTGAAGTCTCGGCTTCCTGTGCCCTCGATGTGCAGATGAATCTTGGTTTTACCAGGCAGACAAGGCACCATCAACAGGAAACGGCAATTCAGATGCAGATCAGGCCCATGTTCTGCGTGACATCTAGTCTCCTCAGCAATGGGGGAATTTCTTCTTCTTGGTTGTTGCCTCTGCCCACAATGGGTGTGCAAGCTACATTAACATGAAATGCAGGCAAGTGTTCCCTATGTGAAATCTCTCACAGTAGGTGATGCAAACAGCTTCCTCTAGGCCTATGGTATACAGGTGTGTGCACAGTCCATGTGTTGCATGTGTAAGTAGATATAAAACCATAAATTAATCCATGTCTCAACAGGCAGGTGTCCCTTTCCCTCAGTTCCTTTTTTGCTGCCACATGAGTAGAAGCATTTCCAGTGAGCTGCATCCTTGCTGTTCATTTTTTTGGCAGAGTGAGGTTTTCCTTTCTCCCTTGTGGGGTTCTCTTCAGACCAGTTGTTCCCCAGTGAAGCTCTTCAGCAGGGTGAGGTGACTCTTGTCAGCCTGCCCTGCGATCTGTCCAGTTTCTACTGCTTGTGGTGCCCAGTCACGGCATCCAAGGCACTCTTCAAAAAAGTGCACAAAGTGCAGGACCAGGACCAAGATGACTCACAGTGACAAATACGAGTTCTGTCTCATGTGTCTGGGGGAGTCCCATAATGTAGATGCCTGTGCCATCTGTCAGTGCTTCACTATCAAGGCGTGTTACAGGAGAAGGCTTTGTTGGATGCAGTCCCATCTAAATTGGTTCCTAGCTTGGAACCTCCCTCCTCAAGCCAGTCAACCCTGTTGGTTCTGGTACTGGAGTTCTGGCTCGCTGTTTGTCCGATTGGTCCCAGCAGTTCTGACTACCAAGAAGGCTCCCAATCCACCAAAAAGAGCGGCATCTGTTGCACCCGCCTCAGAGTCAAGACGTCCTTGGTCCCCATCACCAGTCACCTTGGTTCCAACTCATTCCTGTTTGGAAACAGCATCCAAGAAACACAAAAAGTTGAAACATAAGAAGGCTGGCTCCACTTCCAAGCATGTCAAGCTTCCAAGGAGCAAGACATCATTTTGGTGCTCCCGTGCACCGTCCACATTTTGGTTCTCCTGATAGGTCCATCTCTGAATTTGAAAAAGAGCAATCTAGCATCCTGGTAGGTCAGCTGGTGTGACCCAACCTGGCACCGTCTCTCTTGGCTGCAGGCTTGTCCACCCCAGTGCCACTCTTATTATATGTCTCCAACTTATAACAGTGGCCCAATCACCACTTTCAACGACCTCAGTCCCTCACTGTGCTGGGTTCTGAGCACCACCTGGGTGACCTTAGGTGTGTGGAAGCCCGCTCCAATTTTTAACTGATGATGTCTTCATATCATGAACCAGAAGTGGCTATGGCTGTGGGATCTCGTTATAGTTCTGAGAGTGCGTCCAAACTAAATTTCTGACTAACCATCCACCTCCCTACTCGCTAGTCACAGAGGACATGCAGGTACACCATAGACTGGGCCAACACTCCTCTCCTGGAGACAGGGGAAGCCAGCGCTTAGATTCCTTAGGATTCCTTAGGATGTGTAAGGCTTTCAACTTCCAAGTTGTGAATTATCAAGTGATTATGGGCAGTTATCAGCTCTTTCTTTGGGAAAATCTGTTGCAGTACTTAGATGCCCTTCCTGAAGAACCTAGATCATTGGTCAAGGTGATCCAGTCAGAAGCAATCAGACTTTCCAAGCAGGAGATAAACGCAGGCAGACACATTGCTGATGTGTCAGCTGGATCTATAGCCTCTGTGGTGGTCCTGAGAAGACACTCTTGGCTGTGTACAACTGCTGCTGTAGGAGACATGCTGTAGGATTGAGGACCTCTCCTTTGAGGGGTCAACTCTCTTCTCTTATACCACCGATGAGTTCTCACCAACAATTAAGAAAAATCGTCAAACTGCAAAGTCCCTGGGTGTTTTTCCTCCCCTCCTGCTCCACATCAGTGTTTTGTTCCAAGGCAGCATGGGTTTGCTACTCTCTTTTATAAGGACCAGAGGCACCAGCAAATACAGGCGCCCTACGTGTATCCTCAGTGTCCATACCAGTCTCCCCAATTTCATAAGAGAAAGAGTGCCCCAAGACGTAGGTTAGCAAGCCAGCAAACTCCCCAGAGGGAGCAGAGCCAACAGCTACCAAAATTCTGACTATCTGTTCCAGTTCTTACAGACCTCCCCAGCATAGCTTGGCTCAGTTTTACGAAGCATGGAAGTTTATATGCTCCGATAGTTGGGTTTTGTCTATAGTTCGTAGTTGTTATGTGTTAGAGTTTGTCTCCCCCTGCTTTAACAGCAGTCGATAACCCATATCCTGGGCTCCGTATTCAGCTAGATAAGCTTCACAAGGTATTCCTGTTCTAGGAAGTGGATTTGTTTTGAATCTTGGGCTTTGTCCAAAGGGGTGTCTCCGTTCATCTGCCCCTTACCTTTCATTCTGAAGTACCTACTCTCTCTAGCACATGAGGGGTTGGCTGTATCGTCGGTTAAGACCCACCGGGTGGTCATTTCGGCATACCCACAAGGGTATAGAGGGGTCCTCCCTGTTTTCTCACAAGCTCCCCCAACATTTTCTGAAAGGGCTGCTGAATGTATTTCCCCCCATCCCTCACATTGTCCCACAGTGGTCTCTGTGACTGGAGCTTGCACAGCTGATGAAGCCCCGCTTTGAACCCTTAGCCACATGTCCTTTAGCGCTACTTTCCAGAAAAGTGGCCTTCCTAGTAGCAATTACTTCGGCCAGGAGAGTGTAGCAGCCCTCGGGATGGATTCCCCATTTCTGAAAGTTTTTAATGAGAAGGTTGTACTTCATCCCAGCCTGGACTTCATTCTAAAGGTAATCTCTAAATTTCACCTGGCTCAGGAGATTGTGTTGCCTGTGTGTTTCCTGTCCCTGGGCTCTAAAGCTGAGAAGCTGCATACGTTAGACATTAAGAAGACACTAGTCTATTATGTCAACAGGACTAGGCCTTTTGGGGTTGATAAAGCACACTTTGTATGTTATTGGGACTTAAGAAGGGGAAGGCTGCCTCCTCACAGTCCCTTTCCAGGTGGGCGGTAGCTGCCATCCATTCTTGCTACAAGACAGCTGGGAAACCTTATCCATTAAAGATGATGGTGCACTCCACCAGGGCGCAGGGTTCCTCGGCTGCATTCCACAGGCGAGTGTCAGCTGAAGTTGCCATAAAGTGGAATGTGTGGGGTGCTTTCTCTCTGCTCTCTCCTTCCCATCCCCTGCGCCTCCTCAGCCTGGCTCTGCTATCTGTCTGGTCTGGTGTCCTTGAAGGCTCGGCTCGGCTGGGTCCTCTTCTCTCGCTGGGAATGTAACTGCTGTCTGTTTGCCTGCATTTGCAGGTGCCTGCTTATTGGTTTTACTGTATCAGGGGGTCTAGTTAGAAGGGGGTATATCTTTACGTGTTAGCTTTCATCCCACCATTCCTGACACAAAGAGTTCATGATGTCCTAAGTACTATCAATAAACTGAAACATCTGAAGGAATGTTGTTGAGTGTTTGCCTGGGAAGCCTGACAGCGAGTCTTGCTCATGGACATTTGCAAAGCTGCAACATGTTTGGCAGAAGACACATTTGTGAAGCATTACGCATTGGACCTGCAGGTAAGGAAGGATGCAGATGTGGGCAAAGTGGTTCTCCAGTCTCTCAGTGAGAGCTTCACCCCATCTTCTTTGGTGAGTAGCTTGCTAATGGTCCCAGTGTGGGTCTGCACCAAAGACGGAAGATGGAAACAGAGTTGCACTTACCTTAACTGTTGTTCATCGATGTCTTCTGTGCAGACACACATTCCCTCTCTTCTGCCCCACTGTGAGCACTCACATGGTTCTTCCTGCGTGGGGGTTCGTGGCGGTCTTGCAGGAACTGAGGGAAGGGGGCACCTGCCTCTGGAGCATGTGATAGCTTGGGCAGGAAAAGTCACCATGTCGGGAGGGGCACCCTGCATTAGCTTTTAAGCTTTAAAAGTTTATTCCATGGCTGGCCTGTGCAGATGCAATCCCAATGTGTGTCTGCACAGAAGACATCAATGGACAACAGTTACAGGTAAGTGCAACTCTGTTTTTATTTTCAGAATCTGCTCCAAGCTCTCCAAGAATGGGAAGTCTAAGTACTAAGAAAAGCACAGAAACAAGTAATCTTCAAACAATGTCTAAAGGATTATCTACCAGTTTGCCTGATCTGGACTCTGAACCTTGGATAGAAGTTAAAAAAAGGCATCGTCCATCCCCAGCTAAGCCAAAGGTACTGTACAATGACTTAAGTAATTACTTTTATAGACACGACACAGAAAGTGCTTCATTATAAGGTCAGTTCTTGGAATGTAGGTGGGAGTAAGATGAATTCCCATAATTAATACCATGATGATTAAATAAAGTCACTGTATATTCAGTTTTCTGGCATGATAGGTATTCTTGGAAGGTTAGCTACTTTTCATTTAGCAAAATTATTCTTCTGAGATCTTGAAAATGTGTGTGAGATACAGGCAGTAAACTAGAGACATGCTGAACCACTCATAAATGTAGTCTCCTTGCTGTCTTAACTGTAACTGATGAATCTTCACAAGACTTCACAATATCTCGTCATTTTGGACAATATGGAAAACAGTGATTTCCACATTGCATACTGTTGCAGGGAATCTGCAGAAGGGCTTAGTACCCACTCCCAAGCATTGGGTAACATGTTTTGCTCAGATAAACTGCTGCTGCTCTTAGAATTCTGTTGTGCTACCATTGCTAGAAGAGTAGAGTTGCAAGTCACAGACACAGCACTCTACAAATCTACTTATACCAACTAGCCAATGGCAAGTGGGTTGTCACCCTGGCAACTTGGAAGCAGTAAATACTAGCAAAGATGAAAAAGGCTGCTGGGCCAACAGGATGGAGTTAGGCAAGGGCCTGCATGTTCCAGTGAGGAAAGTGGGAGAATTGGCAGCCTTAACTATTACCACTTAATCTTCATCAATTTCCCACTCAGAAAGGTGGACTGCCTGTTGCTGGCCATGGTGGAAATCTTGAGGCAAATGGAGTAGGGCGGATGAAAAGGAAAAATGGGATTGAGGTTTGCATGTGAGATGCTTGCAACTTCCTCTCATCCTTTTTCCGTGATGATGCAGTGAGAGAATCCTCCTCATTTCACATGCAGTCATATGGGTGACTTCAGTTTATCTTTCCTCCCCCATCCCTGGTGGTTCTCCCTCTTTTGCCCTCTTCTCTTGTCTCTTCTCCAATGTTTGCTTTTCACTTTCCTATTTTTTGTTTTAATCTGCTTTGCAGCTGGATCCTTATTTTCTCATGCAGTAACTAGGCCGTGACTTTTATTCATTGAGAGTTTCATACTTTTGTCTTTTTTAGGAACCTGTGCCTATACTTGAGGAAATGTCAGGTCAGCAGCAGCAACTGCCATCAGAAGAGCAAGAACAGGAAGAGCTTGACTTTTTGTTTGACGAAGAGATGGCACAAATAGAAGGCCGCAAAAATACTTTCACAGAATGGTCAGATAGTGATTCAGATTATGAAATTGATGATCAGGACTTAAATAAGATTTTGATTGTAACACAGACACCACCATATATGAGAAAACATCCTGGGGGAGATCGCACTGGTAACCATGTATCTCGGGCAAAAATTACATCAGAACTTGCCAAAGTCATTAATGATGGCTTATACTACTATGAACAGGATTTGTGGATGGAGCAGAGTGAGAATGATTCTCTTGCTATGAAGGTAATCATGTTTGAGCTGTTTTACATAATTATTTTAATGAATCTGTTTCCTGCCCTAGTTTTTGTTAGTAGAGAACTGCTTTAATAAATGAAAATAAATGGGTAGGACACTTGCCATACTTTTTATACGACGTGTATTATGCCTTAGAACTTCAGTTCTTATTCATGAACAATTTGTTTTGTTTCAGCTTCTGGTTATGGTAAATTAAGGGTAAAATCCTTAAGGGTAAAAATCCATACATAACAATAGACAAGTGGATACTAGATATTTTTGTGTTAATCATTTGCAGTGGAGTTTTGTGATGGTTGCATGGCACTTTGCCTGTTTCATGCAAGTTTTGGGACTTGGCTGTAAATGGGTAAAGAATACTACATAATTTTGAGAAACTAAAAAGAAAGGGAGCCATTATTGACAAAGGGAGAATAAGAGACTGAAAGCAAGGGACAGGATACAGCAACCATGTATCCAGTTTGAGAAGATTATTCACCATCCTAGTAATTTGTAGTGCTTATATCAAAGACTTTTAAAAACAGTAGCATGAATCTTATCAACATATGGTCTCTGATTGCCTTTGAAATGAATATGGTATGACTACTTTAATTTAGCATGTGATGTTGCTGTCCAGTATTAGTAGTTTTGGGGGGAAGAAATCTGGGCATAATTTGGGTTTTCTCCCAGAAAGTGAGGAAAATACAGCATTTACTTCGAAAGGAAAAGTGGCAGCACTCTTATGCAGTCTTGTCAAAATATATATTCCGAGTTTCTGAGAAAGGTGATCTCCTGTTTTAGACAAAATGGGATCCTGGAAAGGTTGGTCAGAATAGTTAACCATCTTCATGAGCCTGGCACAATTTCCTCACTCTTAATTTGCCAGCTATTAAAGCAAACTTTTATGTCAGTTTCTTCTTTCTGAGATACTTCAGTATCTTTGCAATTGTGTTATTTATATAGA